TACATTTACATTTAGTCATTTAGCAGACGCTTTTATCCAAAGCGACTTACAAATGAGGACAATAAAAGCAGTCAACACTAACAAAAGAGCAAAAAATAAAATAAATATAGTGAGCATTTTACGACCGTGTCCAATTAAAAGGAGTGAACGTGTTATTATCTGAAGTAAAACTGCTGCTGCTACTGATAACTGTTAGCAGAATGCAGAAATATTCTTTGGAGAATCGCTGAAAAGCATATCGAAGCGAGCAATCAGAGCGGCTGGAAGTTTCTTCCAATCCTGAGGGGGCAGCGGTGAGTCCGGCGGCGCTCGGGGTTGTTTCGCGGTCACTGCGGCTCCGTGTGTTTGTTGAAATGGCGAAGTTTGGCGATTTAAAAGCCTTTCTTGAATCTTCATTAAATGAAATCTTCCGTGCGACCGTCAGTGACATTCTGGATTCAGTGGAGCAAACAGTCGGCGAGTATCAGCTTAAAATTCAGCGAATTGAGTCCGAAAATGAAGATCTGAGAAAACGACTTTGTGCAAAAGAAAAAAGGACAAATTATGTCAAAACAGGTGCGTGCAATTTGGAAAATTATGTCATAGTTAGTATACACTGCGCTGTTTTTTGGTTAATGCGTGCAAATGATAATGTTGCACATAAGAGCTGTGCATTTGAGTTATTCCTTCTGTGATTATCATTTGCAAACGCATCTGATATACAAGTAAATGTAAATAACAACGTGTGACAAGGGGCGACGTATTAGTTTCTAAAAAAAATCATAACAGACAGCAACATTTAATCCATCAAACGAAACTGCTGTCTGTTATAATCTGTTATGTATTTCAACCAGTTATGGTTTTATGTCAACTCCATTTTAATCCTCTGCAAGAGTTTAACTCTTCGGAGATCAGCGTGTTTTTCTTTGTTACTCATGATTTATTTTGGACATATCATGTTGGCCAGTAACAATATGTTTTTGTGTGTGTGTTGCAGAAGATGAAGACTGTGTTGTGGCTCAGCTTGACTTCTCAAGAGACACTTTCAGCCAGACTTCATCTGCTCAAATGAGTGAATACAATGATCAGACGAAGATGGCTGGAGATTTAGTGTGCAGCCGTACAAAGTCACAAACCACAGATGTCACGCCGTTCCAACTAAACAAGGATTGTGCAACAACATATTTATTTGTAAAGGCCGACCCAGACACAGAGGACGGATGTGCTGTTGACCTTTCAAATCCTCATGCTTCTCCTAAATACACCAGTAAAGAAATAAAAATAGAGGATGCTAACGAGAACGCTGACTCTGAACGTCACGCTTTATTTAAACGTCCTTTAGAGCCAGAGATCAACTCTAATGACTGTGATGTTAAAGTAACGGTAGTGTCAGACAAACACCTTTATCATGTTGATGAGGGTGAGTGCAGCAGACGTGCAGCGTTGGAGGAGGAAGTACGGGAGTCACCGGAGCCCGATATCATCTTTGATGAAGAGTCCAATCCAGACAGACTGTCCGATGAGGGATCTTCTGGATTGCTTCATATGACGGCGTCGCCACCAAACTATTCCTGCGGTCAGTTTAACAAGAGCTTCAAGCACGAAGCATTGCTCAGCATCCACTTGAGATCTCAAAGCTCGGAGAAGACGCACATCTGCGGCCAGTGCGGGAAGGGGTTCGACCGAGCCGATCTCCTGAAGAACCACCAGCGCACGCACACGGGAGAAAGACCCTTCGCCTGTAACCTGTGCGGGAAGAGCTACGGCCACCAGGGCCAGCTGCGCATCCACAAGAGGATCCACACAGGCGAGAGGCCGTACTGCTGCCCGCACTGCGGCAAACGATTCAACGAACACAACCAGCTTAAAGTCCATCTACGGACCCACACAGGTGAGCGGCCATACACCTGCACCGTATGTAGCAAAACCTTCACCAATGCCGGAAACCTGAGGAGCCACCAGAGAGTCCACACCGGAGAGAAGCCGTACGCCTGTGGCCAGTGCGGGAAGAGGTTTAACGGTATGGGCGACCTTAAAACACACTACCGCATCCACACGGGCGAAAAGCCGTACCGCTGCGAGCTGTGCACCAAGACCTTCAGCCAGGCCGGGCATCTGACCATCCACAAGCGCATGCACACCGGCGAGAAGCCGTACGGCTGTGGTGAGTGCGGGAAGCGCTTCACGGTGGCCAGTAGCCTGAAACTGCACCAATTAACACACACCGGAGAGAAACTGCACACCTGCTCGCACTGCGATAAGAGCTTCAGCCGGGCCGGACACCTCAAGAGACACGAGCTGGTCCACTCCAAAGAGAAGCTGTATTGCTGCACGCACTGCGACAGGAAATACAGTGACCAGTCGTCTCTGAAGAAACACCAGAAACTGCACATGACGGCCAAGAATGAAGGCGACCGGAGCGCTGCTGCTGCGCTTGACACAGAGTAACGGTGACCAGACCGTAACGTGTTCCTGCATCTTCATTCATCTTCCTCATCATGTTCCTCAGTATCGCTTCTTACAATAAACTTGTTGAATCTGCTGGGCTACAGTGACTGTTTGATTGAAATGATGGTTCCTGTGATTGAAAATATAATTTTGACATGCATTGAATTATAAGGATCATGAGATCTGATGTTCATCTCTAATACTGAATGGTTGTCATATTCATGTTTAAGGAATACCATGGCATTATCATGGTAGTTTTTGGCACGCTGCACAGAACACATACTGTACTGATGTTTGATAATATAGATAGGTCTTCATTCCTTTAGACAGTGTGTTTTCTGTCTGTGATTGTATGAATTATGCTTATTAGAAATTAATGCTGTCGTCCTGTATGACCTAGTTTGTTAAATATCAGTTATGATGTAAGCACATCTTAGATTAAATGCAATTTAACTTAAGCACCTTATATAAGATGTTCTCTATTGTATTGTGAATTAATGTGAATAATTTCAACTCCTCTTAAATGTTAACTCAAAGCTTCAGTGACAGAATAAAGCTTTTTAAATAGGTCAGTGTACTGTTTGAATCTTTAGATTTAGTAGTATTTGAGCTCCAGTGATCATTGCTGAAGACCATACCGTGTCACTGTTCATTAAGCTCAGTCATATTAATCCTATAAAGATGCTGTATCACCATGAATTTCTAGACCTCTAAATGATTAACATGCTCAAACTTTGCTGTTAAACCTGTCGCACACAATTTACTACATGTACTACTCTCATCTGATTGACAGTTTAGACTTTTTTTTTTATCAAGTAAAAGGTCTTTAATATAATTGTACAAATGTCCACCTTTAGCTCGTGCTTCACGTGTCTGTTTGCTGTCGAATCTTTACTGATTTTTGTCAAAACGTGACAGTAACTTTGATATTGTTAGTGATATGTCAAGATAAACACTTACTGGACTGTAGCAGCTTTGCTTTACTTCATTATTCAGACATCATTTTTTAGAAACATCAGTGTCTTAAATATGATCTTCAGGGTTTTGAGGAACGTTTGTTTCCAGAACCTTTACTTTCACTGTTCCTTAGTGGAGGAATGATCTTCCCAAGCCTCAAAAACATCTCAGATCTTTCGAGGAGTGTTTATTTAATCTCAGTCATCATTGAATTGCATTGCATTATATGTTTTGATAATTTAAATATCATCTTACTAAGACATTTTATTGGAATAATATTGGAATATTATTGAAAGTATATCATTTTACATTTTATGTATCTGCTACACTCTTATAAAATAAAGATCTCATTAATTTACATAAACATCAGAATTTCAGCTTGCTTTTTGTCCCTAAACGTATCAGTATCTTCACCAAATTGCATATTTTCGCTCAGTTTGAGTCTCTGCCCTGTTGAAAAAACAGCATATGCTGGTTAGGATGTGCTGTTGACCTTTCAAATCCTCATGCTTCTCCTAAATACACCAGTAAAGAAATAAAAATAGAGGATGCTAACGAGAACGCTGACTCTGAACGTCACGCTTTATTTAAACGTCCTTTAGAGCCAGAGATCAACTCTAATGACTGTGATGTTAAAGTAACGGTAGTGTCAGACAAACACCTTTATCATGTTGATGAGGGTGAGTGCAGCAGACGTGCAGCGTTGGAGGAGGAAGTACGGGAGTCACCGGAGCCCGATATCATCTTTGATGAAGAGTCCAATCCAGACAGACTGTCCGATGAGGGATCTTCTGGATTGCTTCATATGACGGCGTCGCCACCAAACTATTCCTGCGGTCAGTTTAACAAGAGCTTCAAGCACGAAGCATTGCTCAGCATCCACTTGAGATCTCAAAGCTCGGAGAAGACGCACATCTGCGGCCAGTGCGGGAAGGGGTTCGACCGAGCCGATCTCCTGAAGAACCACCAGCGCACGCACACGGGAGAAAGACCCTTCGCCTGTAACCTGTGCGGGAAGAGCTACGGCCACCAGGGCCAGCTGCGCATCCACAAGAGGATCCACACAGGCGAGAGGCCGTACTGCTGCCCGCACTGCGGCAAACGATTCAACGAACACAACCAGCTTAAAGTCCATCTACGGACCCACACAGGTGAGCGGCCATACACCTGCACCGTATGTAGCAAAACCTTCACCAATGCCGGAAACCTGAGGAGCCACCAGAGAGTCCACACCGGAGAGAAGCCGTACGCCTGTGGCCAGTGCGGGAAGAGGTTTAACGGTATGGGCGACCTTAAAACACACTACCGCATCCACACGGGCGAAAAGCCGTACCGCTGCGAGCTGTGCACCAAGACCTTCAGCCAGGCCGGGCATCTGACCATCCACAAGCGCATGCACACCGGCGAGAAGCCGTACGGCTGTGGTGAGTGCGGGAAGCGCTTCACGGTGGCCAGTAGCCTGAAACTGCACCAATTAACACACACCGGAGAGAAACTGCACACCTGCTCGCACTGCGATAAGAGCTTCAGCCGGGCCGGACACCTCAAGAGACACGAGCTGGTCCACTCCAAAGAGAAGCTGTATTGCTGCACGCACTGCGACAGGAAATACAGTGACCAGTCGTCTCTGAAGAAACACCAGAAACTGCACATGACGGCCAAGAATGAAGGCGACCGGAGCGCTGCTGCTGCGCTTGACACAGAGTAACGGTGACCAGACCGTAACGTGTTCCTGCATCTTCATTCATCTTCCTCATCATGTTCCTCAGTATCGCTTCTTACAATAAACTTGTTGAATCTGCTGGGCTACAGTGACTGTTTGATTGAAATGATGGTTCCTGTGATTGAAAATATAATTTTGACATGCATTGAATTATAAGGATCATGAGATCTGATGTTCATCTCTAATACTGAATGGTTGTCATATTCATGTTTAAGGAATACCATGGCATTATCATGGTAGTTTTTGGCACGCTGCACAGAACACATACTGTACTGATGTTTGATAATATAGATAGGTCTTCATTCCTTTAGACAGTGTGTTTTCTGTCTGTGATTGTATGAATTATGCTTATTAGAAATTAATGCTGTCGTCCTGTATGACCTAGTTTGTTAAATATCAGTTATGATGTAAGCACATCTTAGATTAAATGCAATTTAACTTAAGCACCTTATATAAGATGTTCTCTATTGTATTGTGAATTAATGTGAATAATTTCAACTCCTCTTAAATGTTAACTCAAAGCTTCAGTGACAGAATAAAGCTTTTTAAATAGGTCAGTGTACTGTTTGAATCTTTAGATTTAGTAGTATTTGAGCTCCAGTGATCATTGCTGAAGACCATACCGTGTCACTGTTCATTAAGCTCAGTCATATTAATCCTATAAAGATGCTGTATCACCATGAATTTCTAGACCTCTAAATGATTAACATGCTCAAACTTTGCTGTTAAACCTGTCGCACACAATTTACTACATGTACTACTCTCATCTGATTGACAGTTTAGACTTTTTTTTTTATCAAGTAAAAGGTCTTTAATATAATTGTACAAATGTCCACCTTTAGCTCGTGCTTCACGTGTCTGTTTGCTGTCGAATCTTTACTGATTTTTGTCAAAACGTGACAGTAACTTTGATATTGTTAGTGATATGTCAAGATAAACACTTACTGGACTGTAGCAGCTTTGCTTTACTTCATTATTCAGACATCATTTTTTAGAAACATCAGTGTCTTAAATATGATCTTCAGGGTTTTGAGGAACGTTTGTTTCCAGAACCTTTACTTTCACTGTTCCTTAGTGGAGGAATGATCTTCCCAAGCCTCAAAAACATCTCAGATCTTTCGAGGAGTGTTTATTTAATCTCAGTCATCATTGAATTGCATTGCATTATATGTTTTGATAATTTAAATATCATCTTACTAAGACATTTTATTGGAATAATATTGGAATATTATTGAAAGTATATCATTTTACATTTTATGTATCTGCTACACTCTTATAAAATAAAGATCTCATTAATTTACATAAACATCAGAATTTCAGCTTGCTTTTTGTCCCTAAACGTATCAGTATCTTCACCAAATTGCATATTTTCGCTCAGTTTGAGTCTCTGCCCTGTTGAAAAAACAGCATATGCTGGTTAGGTATGTTTTGAAGCATGGCTTTGAGCTGGTTTAAGCTGGTCATGTGCTGGTCCTAAGCTTTTCCTGAGCAGGAGCTAGTTGCTTAGGACCAGCTTAAACTAGCTCAAACCAGCAGCCATGCTTCAAAACATGCCTAACTAGCATATGCTGTTTTTTTCAACTGGGTTCATAAGACTTTTTGAAGTTTTGTCTAAAGGATCAATACACTGTTTCTTCTTTAAAATACATTTTTTATACTATTATTTCACATACTTTACAGAGTTAAATGAGCTGCTCGTATAGTTTCTCATGGTCCTCCAGTGCCTATTAACTGGATTTCAACAGTCATAAACGCCTTAATCTCTTAAATGTCATCCCCCCCCCCCCCCCCCAAAGCCTTAAA